GGTCGACGACAACGTTTTTTGAATTGACTGTATACAGTATGAGTGGCCTCGTTGTATCCGATATACAAACTCGAGGCGTAGCAGAGAGTTTSTATATTGGATACAACACGGACACGAATACTGTAGATTACTTATCAAACGTCTAGGCTAGTTCCTTTGTGTTTCACTAAACTTTTCAAGATAAAAGTGAATCTGGCCAAGAAAATCCATCTTAAAGTTTATGCAAATGAACAGGATTCTGTATCTGATTTACAAAACTCTTCACGGTCGTGTTTTTTGTTGTGTTTTCCTCATGAATTATTAATTAATTCTTTTAATTTTAACCAACTATCGTATGTTTTTAAGTACAAGAAAAAGCAGTTTCGTTCGCCTCCTATCGGCAAACCAAAGAAGCCTTTCCTTCAATAGTTTTAGTATTTCTACAGATAATCTATCTAAATGTTGAATGAAATAAAAAAAGGAATACTTATTTGCATTAATAAATCTGTCTCAGTTGTTTTTGTTAAGTTTATCTGAATCTAAATTTTATTTTTCAAAACCTTTTGTCTTTTGTGATTTCCACATCTTTTTCACGCATAAAAACAGATTACACTGGTAAAATGAATCTCRAAATCGCAGAAGTAACCTTAGTTTTTAAGCTTCTCRAAGATTAGTTAAACCGGCTTGAATGAAAGGAATATACAATATTTTAATGAAGAAGAAGAAGAAAAATCTTTTCTCATTGATTATTTTAAACTGACACTGATTTGGCTTTGCGTACTTACTAGCTACATTGAGCTACAATGAGCTATACAATGATCCACAATGAGCTACCAAGTGATCTTCAATGATCTACAATGAGCTACAAAGAGAACTATAACGATAGAGCGAAAACGAGCTACTATAAACTAGTTTGAAGCTACATAAACTCAAAACTATTGATATTATGATTAAATACTGTAATAATAAGCTTTATTTTTCAACCTTAAATAARATATGCGGTGGATTTACATGGTTAGAACTATTGTATATATCAATAATTCTAACCATGTAAATCCACCGTATATTTCATTTAAGGTTGAAAAATAAAGCTTATTATTATTTAATCAAAATAAACCAATAAAGTTAAATTCCACTTAAATTGTGTACTTGCTGCACTTAAATTGTGCACTTTCTGTCAATTAACAGTCCTTAAATTAACCAGGAATTCAAAGCTTAAAAATGTTGCAATATGTCTATGGAAAAGTTTGTCGAAACATTTTTCATAAATACTGTAAAACTAGCCCCTGGGGTGGATGGTGGTGGGTTGTGTACATGTGATAAAATTTCTAGCTAAGTGGGAGAGTACTGTAGTAAAAAGTAAGGTCGAAAACAAAAACTCTCGCAAACGAAACGATGAAGTGTATTTCAATTTGATTTCTTACCCCGTGGTTCATTTTGGGGACATTATCTTCATCTCAAATTAAAAAAATTATTGAAGATTTTTTTCCAGATTATTTTTTCGCATTTCAGTTTTATTTAAATTGGGCTCCCTGTGTCTACTGCGAGCTCCGCTTTTAGGCAGTGCCTAATTTATATATTATTTGTAATGTGCATCCTGCACTTAAGCTTAAACTCCCGAGGAATGACTTATTTTCAATACTTTCTGGAAAAAATATCACGGAGGATATCCCATGATATTTTACTCCGACGAAGGACTAGCGTCCGAAACGTCAGTAAGTTTTTTCATCTTTTTACGGTGTATAATTTACCCTTCTGTCATTACTGTTTCATTAGGAACACTGACGCAGCTCACACTAGTTTTTACCTAGTTATCTTTTAATATTAGATATTGATTCGCACGAGTGTGTTTTTCAAAGAGTTGAAATTTCCCAGACTTGCACTAAGAGGTCACGTGATCAAATCCGCCATTGTGATTGGCATTCTCCAGGAGAATGAACGAGAATGTAAAAAAAGATGGCGGATTTGAGTAGTTTTTCTTTTGTGATAAAAGGTAAGTTAGAGCACTAAATAATGATAAAAATCCCTTTTCCTTGCAAGAAATATATTCTTAGTAGATATCTAAAATAGATTTTAGCTGTTAACTAGGCAAGGAGAGAGAAAAATATAGTATTTTAGCGATACCATGTGAAGACCTAATCAAAGCGATTTTGGCTTTAAATACATGTTTTTCAAAGAGATTATTTTCCCTATTTTAAACCAAGATGTGGCTATATGTTGATTAAAAAAAGTTTTTTTTACTGTAAAGAAAATCCGAATCACTATGAATGAAGATGATTTGGAATGGCTGACTTTGCAGCTAACTGGAGTTGTAAGACTTATATTGAAAAAATTATACCTGACAATTGTTGAACGTGTTCAGAAAACTTTTCGGCTCAGTTTTGGGATCTTGCAGACTAAAATATTTGTGTAATCACTTACCACATCGTGTTTAATGACCTCGATTATGGTTTTTATCAATTCTGTTTTAGTTTTTGCTTTACTTCGGCAAAGAGTCGCTCGATTATTTTCCTTCTCATTAGTTTCTTCCATATATTCAGCCATAACGATGTGCTTTTACTTATTTTTTTCTTTTTCGAAGGCCCAGTTGTTCAAAGCCCGATTAGTGTTAATCCTGGGTTAACTTTTAATAAGACCTACGGGGTTAATCCGGGATTAGCGCTAATCCAGCTTTGAACAACCCGGCCTGTTTTTTTTAGTCGTTTGATAAAGAGGGAAATGTTTAGTTTTGTTTTCCAGAAAGCGAAAGTCTCGATGTTTCACGAGGCGAAGCAATATGGACTAAAAGAGCTTGTAATTTACATTTTCCTATTTTTCCCCGAAATACGGCCTCAAGCCCTATGTTTTTTTTTTGTTTTATTTATTTATTTTTTGATTATATCTTCTCAACGTATTCGAGGACCCCCATTTTTTATTTCATATTTTCATAAGTAATATAATAAATTTTTGTGCCAAGTTTTAAAAATACTGTTGAAAAAAAACTGCACGATCGTATAACCTTCAGCAATCATATTTAAGCATGTTTTACATTCTGCATCTCATTTGATATTTTGTATCTCATTAGATGTTGGTATAAATGTTTAAAGTGTATATGACACGAAAAAATTTTAATGTTAAGAATGTGTAGTTTATTGGCATTAATAAGAATATCACGGTTAAATTTGTTTCAARAACGTATTTCTCTAGAAATTCAAAAAATTTTAGCACGAGTTGTGACGTCATTTTGTTTACAAGTCTCCAGATTTAGTTGCAAATACATGAAATATGTTTGAATATAGAATCTTAATTTCAGGTAGTACACTTTTCAATTTCCCAACATTGGAAGAGTACTACGTAAGCTATCAAATGAAGTTGAATAAAATATGTCTTTTGTTGTTAATTTATATGAATTACAATTTATATTTAGTACATTACTACTGAATCTAGAGTACGTGTCAACAAAATGACGTCACAAATTGGGATTAACTTTCGCAAATATCTCAAGAAATAAGCTTTTGAAACAAATTTTGGCACGATATATTTATTATTACTAACAAACTATACATTTTAAATGATGGAATGTTTTCGTGTCATATACACTTTAATATTGATATATTTATCATATAGTTAGAATAGTATGCGTGCGCTGATTGGTTAAAAACTATGCTTTATTAGTGAAGGTTGCACAGTGCTGACGCCATCCGCGTGCTGCTACAATCTTGGACAAAAAGAATGGAGAATTTTCCATCCAGTCATGAAATAGTAGAGTTTCCATTATCAAAAAAATGTACTGTCCGTACCCCCTCTCCCCCTGGACAATGTTGGTCCCTGCAGGCAAAGCAGCCCTGTCTCCCTCGAAACAACATTGTTTGGGGGGAGGGGGTCGTTTTAAGGGGAATTTTTCATGTTTTTCATGAAAATACCATTAAAACTAAAAATTTCTCAACATTTTTGACCAAGATTGTAGATCCTGCGACAGTCTTTCTTTTTGCGTAAATAAATTCAATACCAAATAAAAATTAGTAATGATATAACAAAACGAATAAAACAGCTTTTTCCGTGGTCCATGCAGTGATAAAGCACTTTGGAAGCGCCGTAAGCACTCAAGAAGTGTGAGAAGCATTCACCTACGGCTCGTGTTTCTCCTTACACTTCTTTCGTGCTTACGTCACTTCCTGCGTCCTTTATTACTGAACAGAGCACGGAAAAAGCTGTTTTATTTGTCAAATAAATATTTGACCTGAAAGGGCGGAAGGTAGCATGTCTGAGTTATATCCGTGTATTTGGCACTTAGTACAGTTTCACGTATGACTGTGAAAAGCTCAGTGCCGTAAGCGTGAGGTGCCGTGACCGTGATACTTTCTAGAATTTTAATTGGCTGATTTTTTTCACGCGCAACATGATTGGTCTAAAAGTGCCGTGATCTTGGCGTGACCGTGTCCACGCCGTGTTTATGCTGTGTTCCGGGTATTTGATTGGATGGAGAGTAAATTCTCGTGCAATGTGATTTGTCTGGCGTATCCCTTGCTGTGTCACGACCGTGTTCGTGCCGTGAACTTTTCACAGTCATACGAAAACTACACTATCATCTACGCGCGCAGCGACGGCCTACTCACTACTGGGTAACTGGGTAATATCTGAGCAGCCATCGTACTCTCATCTTGATATTTCTACTCGACAGCTTCATTCGTGTGATCGAACCATTCGAAACCTCTACATATCCTTGTTCTCACATCATCTACTCAGCTCAACGGTAAGTAGAGGTAACGACGGTTTGCGTGTAGCAAGAATATATCGAACCATTCGAACCTCTATATATCTTTGTTCCAAATCATCTAGTCAACTCATCTGTAAGTAGAGGTAACGACGTTTT